CAATTATATAATGTAAACTCTGTGTTCCTTGCAGTATTCCTTGTTGAGAATAATGACACAGGACAGACAATAAATGTTGAAGGACTGTGTAGTTTCCTGTACCCATTTCCTTGTATGTGCAAGTGTTGTTCTAGGACACTTGTTTTTGAAGTACTGCACTATTGTTCAATAACCATACCTAAAGAAGGTCTTTGAGGTCGACAGTTTTCATGGCACCACCGAGACATTTGTCCTTTTTATTGCTTTCCCCCAAGTTTAAATATTGTCCTGGTGTGTAGCATCATATCTAATACCTAGTCCAGCACACATGCACGTTTTGTGTCTTTAAAAGTCTTCGTTTTAGTTTTTCACATGGTAAGTACTAATAATGACCCTTCATGTGCTTAGCTCTGAGGGCCTCTGCTTTTGCAGTAGGAGGTGCAACGATAATAGATGTGAATAATGCAGTGTGTAGGATGAGTCCACTGTGGTACAGGGCTGGGCTCTGACATACTCTCACTAATAGCCCAGCTTGAGTTCCTGGAACTACACCATGGCAACACTTGTCCTCGGCTGTCTACTATTTGCCTGTTATACAGTACCTAATGGTGGGTTTAATTTGCATTCCCCTGATTACTGGTGGAACAGTTTTTCCATATGTGGTCCTCTTCTGTGAAATATAATTAATGTCTTTTGCCCGTGTTTGATTAAGTTGTCTTTCGTTGATGAATATGGTTTCTGTATCTAGTGCAGACGTCAGTCCTTTGCGTGTGGTACACATGTTTCCTACCACACTTGTGCATGTACACATGTTTCCTACCACACTTGTGCATTGCCTTCTGTAGTTGTGTTGAATGTGGAAGTCAACCTGGAGAAGATGCGCCTCTTTTTTTATTTTTTTTGTCCCATGTGTCTTTCCAGTCAAAATCATTGTATGTCTCTGCTGGTTATGTTTTCTTATGCTTTGTTTTTTTTCAGGGCAGAGTTTCTCTGTGTAATAGCTCTGGCTGTCCTGGAACTCACTTTGTAGACCAGGCTGGCCTCAAACTCACAGAGATCCACTTGCCTCTGTCTCCCGAGTGCTGGGATTAAAGAAGTACGCCACCACAGCTGGCACTTTTTAATTTTCATATACCCATTATGGCTGTTTTGTTTCTTATCCTTATTTTACTACAGTGATAGGTAGGAATGTTGTGGGTCTGATTCTGAAACAACCCAGGTAGGCACAAGAGTCCATACAAATTGAGATCTTTATTGAATTGTGCAGCAACACTGACCTGTCAGGAACAGCAGTACAGACTCAGAAGCAGACTGCACTCCCAGAATGTTCATTTAAGCAGAAAAGCCATAAACAGCTGCATCAAGTTTCAGGTACATTTCCACCAATCAGGATTCAGGAGTAGGGGACAGTCCCCGGGGCATTGTTCTCATTGGTTGGTCTGCTCAAATGTGAACAGCTTGCCCACCATTCATGGCTCAGCTTGCCAACTGGGTGTCAGGTACCCAGGAGGCCTACAGAGGTCTTGGTGACCCTTAATTCATAATGGAAATTCTATCCCAAATGGCTCCGGTTCCTTCTCACAGACCTGGAGTACAGTGTTGAAAAGTAGTGACGGTGACCTTGGGCCATCTCAGAGAAAATGCGGCTCCGTGGTTGTGATGTGTGCATATGAGCATGCTCATGAGGCAGCCAGAGGGAACTGCAGGAGCCTGCCTTCCTCTGCCGCCTTCCACCTTACTGCCTGGGACAGGAACTGAACTCTCAGTGAGCTGTGACTCCACCCTCAATGCTGGGTTAGGAAGGTGATTTAACACTTCACTGCTGGGAAAAGTTGTAACACACCTGTGCTGGTTGAGGAAGTCTTCTCTACCGTAGATGCCGGTACTCTGTTGTGAATGATTTTGAGTTTCGGGGCTTCTATCTGCATGTGTACCTGACTATTCTTTCTAAAATAGTAACCTTTAATTTCTTAGTATAAGTTGAACTTAGTCATGGTATGTGTGTTATAATACATTAATGGACTCAATTTGCCATTTTTATTTTTTTAAAAACAGTCAACCACACTTCAGTGGAAGGCTCAACATCCAGGTCAGCACAAACTCAAATGTGTTTTATTTATTTGTTTGCTTGCTTATTTAAGGCTACGAAGTTGGGGTATGGAGTGGAGGTAGAGCTGGAAAGGCTAGTGAATGTGATGAAAATGAGAGTTGGACGTGGTGGGGCCCGGCCTTTCATCCCAGCACCAGGACACAGAGGCAGACAGCTCTGTTTTTGAGGCCAGCCTGGTCCACGTGACATCCAGGGCCACATAGAGAGCCTGTCTCCAGAGGGAAAAACAAACACACAAACAAACAAAAAACCAAACAACCTGCCCCCACCGAAAACACATTTTACAAGATTTTCAAAAGAATTTATAAAGAAAACGGAGGGGGAATACTCTCTTGCCACTGCTTTTTATAAGTGTTTTCAAAAGCCAGTTGGGCACGTGTATTTCAGTCCATGCCTGGGTTTAGGCTTACTGGGTCCACTGATCTGTCTGCCATTGTCTTCACCATAATATCTTCATAGTAGGAAACCGTCTCTCAGTTTTTCCAAAGACGTATCTGCCGTCTGAGTGTAGAATTCTTATGCATGCTGGTGTCATTATGGGCCCCTTGTGTTTTCTCTTTTGGTACAGTGTAACCTGGCTAGCCTGGAACTCACTGTAAAACAGACTGGCTGTGAACTCAGAGACCTGCCTCTGCCTCCCAAGTGCTGGAATTAAAGGTGTGCAGCACCTTCCTTGTATTTTCTCTTGTTCCACCTTTCCGAGGCCTGTACTTTTAGCCCTGTAGTTATTTAAAATGTATTTCCAGATATCAGTGAGCTGTAGCCTTCATTTGCTTCTCTCTAGTGGTACCAGAGAAAGTCTGACTTATCTTTTCTGTCCAGTTCTCTGTCCTGTGATGAGTTTCACACATGTCCTACACACTAGAAAACAGACTGCTTCTTGAGCTGTACACATCTGTGTTGACATTTATTCTGTGCCTGACTTCTTTAGTGAAATCTCAAAACCTCACAATCTCTTTAAGTTACCAGCACTTGCTTTCTTTTTCCTTATTACTGTGTGTGTGACCTGGGGGGTGGGGGGGAGATGGGGCCCTTTGGCAGCATGCCATGCTCAAGTCACTGGTTTTTTAAAAACCCAGTAAGGAGGACCATGTGAACAAGCCTCCTTGGCTTATGATAGAGGTACCGTTTATGCCTTGCCCTTGCCTAGGAATTTGTTTTATATTATATTGCTGTGTGAGAGAGAGACGGGACTGCCTGTGAGTGGGTCAGAAGAGTAACTTCCAGAAACCTGCCCTCTTCCCTCATCCAGTGAGTCAGGGTTTTAACTCAGGCCCCAGCTCCGGTGGCAAGCACCTGTACCTGCTGAGTCACTTATTTTATGGCCCCAAGAGACTTGTTTCAACTGACTGCTCAGTACTCAAGCTTCTTCATAGACTCTGAGATTAAGTACAGAAATTGAGAGCAAAAGTAAGACACGAACTCAGTCCTGCCAGCCAGGAGTACCTGAACTATACCTAAGAAGAAAAAGACGATGGCATCATTTGGTTTGTTGTCGTAGAAGACTGAGGGATGCTTACTAATGCACGACGTGCCTTCAGTTCCTACGGACAGTTCACCCAGCATGCAGTGCGGAAGGAAGCCATCTGAACAGGTAAGGGAGCCAGAGCCATACTTCTAGGCAAGTCTTCATCTTCACAAGCAATAGCCAGAAGTCAGAGAAATAACACATTCCAGTGTCATCTGCGGTTGTGACTGAAGACTCATACAGACCCTCAAATGGAACTACTTGGGGGTGGCCTTGGAACTCTGTATTGGGATGAGTCGTGTTACCACACCATCCAGAAACACTGAAAGAATTAGGGTTTGGCCTGATTTCCGTGGAGTGATATAGAGTCACAGTCCCGTGCTGATAACACTACTCATAACTTTGTGTGTGTGTGTGTGTGTGTATGTATGTATGTATTATGTCTGCCTGCATCTCACAAATGATAGGATTATGCATTTTAAAGACTACATGTATTATTGTGCACATGCACGAGAGAGACAGAATGTGCACATGTGTGTCACAGCACATGTAGGGACTCTCTTCCTCCACTGTATGGGTTCTGGGGGTTGGACTTGGTCAGTCTTGCCAGCAAGCGCCTTCCCCAGTGGGGTCTCCCTGCTCCACTACAGGAACCTGAGGGAGACCCTCCTGAGTATTTATAATGAGAGTATCAAAAGTAACCGATTCCTTTAGCAATGAGGCATGCTTCCAGGAAAGTACTGCATGCATATGACCGGAAGAGAGAAGTGCAAACAGCTTCTACAGCACTGTACCAAACACCAACATCAGGGTAGTTTGCGTCCCTTATGGCACCCGCAACTTAAAATCACTAAAGCCTCGTCACTTCCTATCAAAAAAGGGGGCACTTAAAATTCTAAAATTATTTTAGGCTAACAAATGCTTAAAAGGACGGTATCAGATGTAAGCCAGGATGAACATGACATTAACCCTGAGTGTGAAGGAGATGTGTTGAGCACACACAGCACACCTGTTTTCTTCCCTGCATGAGTAAATACGGAAGCGATGTGACCCAGAGTTGATGTGCTTTTGCCCCCAAAGTATCCCTCATTTAAAAATAGTCAGTAATTTCTTCCTTTTCTTTATCCTTAGCCTTTAAGTAGTTGCTGAGCTGGTCTGATGCCCAAGGTCTCACACTTTATCAGTGAGGTAGGCGCACTGAGCCCACACCCCAGGAGTAAGACCTTCCCACTTTGTGTATCTGGCAACCCAGCAGTTCTACTCGTAGGAATTCATTTGAAGAAAAGTTACGATGTACACGAGATTCAGTGAAGGGCTATTTATAACTACGAAGAGATGAAAAGAAGTCAATTTCCAGCAGGCGATTAAATAAGTTAATCCTGATTCAGTCACACAACAGAATAAAAACCCAGTACGAATGATGCAGAAGGCCATGCACAACCCGGAAAGATGTTCACAATATATTGTTAAGTGAGAAAGCTGGTTACAAAACAGTGTGCACAACATGAGCCCGTTTTTATAAAAATATACATATTTAGCAAAGTAAAAGGACAAATGAATTATCAAAATATTAACAACGGTTAGTTCAACACAGTAGGGTGACTGGTGATTTTGCTTAGCCATCCTCTCCCTTTCTTTCCTACCTGCATTTTCTACAATAAAGATTATTATTGAAAAGGGGGGTAGGGCAGGAGGGAATTACTTCACCTCTCAATAGGCAGCTATGCTCCCCAAGACTCCCCCAAGCTGAGCGGCCATTACCGTTCAGCTTGTACTTAGGAAACTGCTCTCCTTTGTCCACTGGAATCCCACAAATTTCCTTCTGGACAAACTGTACTATAAGCCATTTTTGGATAAAGCTAAAACTACCACCACCACATACACAAAAAATTTAACGTAATTATTACTAAAAAAAAAATAGATGGGAAAATAGAAATCTTTAGTTTAAAAAAGGAACCCAAACACACACTACTATACTGTACAAAGCTACACTGTCTAATGTAGTTTATTGCAGACAGCAAAGCAAGGTTCCCGTGTCCCGCCATCCCCAGCGCACCCTGCTCCCCTCTTGATCACTAGTGGATGTACAACGTCCGCAGATTTACACCCTCTGACATTATCAGTGGACTAAACAATCCCTCTCATTGAAGGGGATACTATAATACTTTAAGGAAGGGACCTCTTCAGGGATGCTAGGACTACACCAGGGGAAATGAATCCTAACACACATAATAACAACTAAAGCTACCTGAATAGGTATGGACAGTGACAGGCACCAAGCTTCTAGGCCGGACAATACTTGCTTCTACATCCAACTTAATTATGCAATTACATTTTTAAAAAAAATGACACTGCTTAAGCTATGACTGTTTCACCAAAAAAATTAATTTCAATAAATATAATAAATGCTAAAAATCTAGCTAGGTTATCATGCAAGATAGAATATAGCTAAGACATTTATAATAAAGGCAACTTTCATTCAAAATGAACTCTACCCTTACATTTTATTAAAAGGGCAAACATGAATTAACCCAGCTGCTTACTTGAATTACAAAATAACATGATTCAATATGAAAATAAGAAACTGTCTACAAATCTCTGACAGTAATAAATTGCAATATACAATGCATACAGGTGTCATACAGAGCAACAAACTCTCGTACAAAACAAAAATATTTTAATACCTTTAAAATCCAATTTTTTCTTTAAAATCATTCATGAAAAAGATTCTCAAGTCAGAATTAACACCTCAATTAGTCAAGCATCAGGAAGCTACATTACAGCTACTTATTTTACAAAGAGGCGTCCTCGCCCGCACTTCCTCCCAATGCCTGTCCCAGACTTGGTCGGACTCTCTCCACAGCTAGTTCCATCATTTCTTCAGATCACGAAAACTGAATTTGCTGGACACCAGAAATCTAGGATTGGAAAACGTAAATTAAGATCTTTAGAAGTATAAAGTAACATGTCTATTTCAGACACCAACCGAACAGGCCGCAGGAGGGGGCTGCTCCCACACCAGACAGCTGCCTCCGAGCTGTGTCAGTTAATCTATGCAGATGCAGGCACCTGGGAAATGTTTTAGTTGTTAAGGGATTCTGATAGTAATACATATTTGGAGAAAATAATTTTATTATATCCTTAATAAGAAGCTGGAATTTTGGGTGTTTTTAAAATATCAATGAATAGAATCTGTTTTGAAGCTGACATGCAGAGACGGCATCATACATACCTGTTGGTAGGACGTCGTGTAAACCATAACGTTTTGTTGTTGACCATCTGCAGTTATTAACCCAGCTGGTAACTGGTTAGCTATAGGAAGAGGAGAAGAAAAGTCAAAAGGGAAATAATCTTACTTTCTTGGCCTCAAACTTAGTTTTCCCATATTAATGCTCCATTACAGTTCTCCCACAGAGAAGGGATATAATCTATGTAAAATCATAACTTCCTATATTCTTTTTTAAAGTCCCCTAGAGATAAAAGTCACTACTTTTAGTATTGACTTCTAATTCACTACCCCGCGTCTCTATACTAACTTAGCAACAGGGTTCATTGTGCCCAGTCCTAGCCTCAAATAGGGTGTGGCCGGAGCAACACAGGACTGAGCAGCATGTGTCTTACAAGTGAAAAGTTTCTTGTGCTACATTCAAATCGTAGAATTTTATGTTACAAGTTAACGATTTTCAATATTCCTCTCAGAAATCTTCACTCAAAAGAAAGATCCTATGGAAATGACTTGTAATTATCACGGAAAGATCACAGTGTCTTGCATGGGTCACACGGACACAAGGTCATTTAGACAAAAGCCTCAGCACTGAGACCCAGCAGCCCACCCCCCAGCAACAGCTCACAGTGCTTACTGAATGCTTCTTCTGTGAGCTCCTCACTCAGCCCGTCCGTGGCTGAGACCGCTCCACCAATGCCCTTCTCTCCTTTCATGGCCTAGGAATAAATAAAGCCAAAGCAAGCGTTCACATCCAACTGTTTCCAAATGAGAACCAACGCGATGTCCAAAACTGGAAGCTGCCGTGAGCAACCTTTCTAACAGTATTCCATTAACCCTCCAGGGCATGTTTGTGTGTGCCATCATCCGTGCACAGCCAGCTGGGAAATACTGGGAAGCTCCAAGCTTACGTTGAAAATTCCCAGATACAAATTAGTTTGAACCACAGACCTCCAAAGGTGTCATGTTCCCCCCACCCCACCCCCACCCCACCCCGGGTGTGTGGTACCCTTCAGTACCACACAAAGTACTGTGGGAAATATTTGGAGGGACTTGAACACTAAACCCTTTTCGGAGCAAGCAGGAGAACCTGAGTTCAGAGTCTTAACAACCCACTTGAAAGCTGGGTGTGATACCCATCTGTAACCAGTGCTGGGCAGGCAGACATAAGCATTTCTGGGGCTTTACTGGACAACCGGCCTAGCCAGTTAGTGGGCTTCTGGCTCAATAAGACCCTGACTCAAACACTAAGGTGCGCACATACAGGAGGATGGCCACACCATCCTCTGGTCCCCTCAGAAGTTCCACCCTGACTGATGGCTCCTAAGTTAACATGGCAGCACGGCCACCATTTACCGAGTCTTCCCCATAATTCTATAACGAAGTGCTGTAAGTCTCTTTACAGATGGGGACCCCGCCCCAGCACAAACCCAGACCCCTTTTAACCACTACTCACCTGCTCAAGACACAAGTAAAGAATCGGTATTTAAAATACCCGTAACACCTCAAATGCCACTGGGAATACTTCATCATTGGCTTCAAGGCATTTTAAGTGACGTATTCTACACGCCAAGCTGACACTCACCTCTCTGAACTTCTGAAGGTACAATTTCAGAGGTTCCACGTAGCTGTCGAAGCCCAGCGTGGACATGGCGAAGAGGATGTCCTCTCCGTTGATGGTCTTCCGCTTCTCCTGGTGACACCGTTCGCTCGCCTCAGACGTGATGAAACTTATGAACTCACTCACACACTCCTGAACACACTCTTTGGCATCTTTTGCAATCTGAAGGAGGAGGAGGAGAAAGCCACAGGTCAGTTTTTAGGAAATGTACCATTACCTTCTGACCCCTGCGAACACACAATGCACACTGTGCTGAAGACAGCTTTCGACACCTCACCTATTCCAGGCTCTGTAGCCAAGGGGGACCAGAACCTTTGCTCTTCCTGCTCCACCTCTCAAGTGCTGGACTATAGCTGACTGGCAGGCCCCACACCCCATCTTAAAAACCTGGGCTACCAACTGAGTCACAGTCCTGGTGCTGATGACAGCTAACCCTCAGCCCCTTGGACATCAATGTATGTAGGTAACAGGCAACTCAGAACAAACAGAACACACACGAAAGTGAGAGGGGCTTCTGCGACTATTCACAGCAAACAGAAACAAGATGGTCCAGAGCCACCACTGTAGCTACCTACCATCCCATAGGGATGAAAAGCAAGTGCCCGGGACCGTCAGCCCAAGTACGCCTGCTCAGAGCACACGACCTCTCAGCATTTTCATGATGAAGAGTCCTAGCCGCTCTTCCAGAGGACATGGGTTCAATTCCCAGCACCCACATAGTGGCTCACAACTGTCTGTAACTCCAGTTCCAGGGATCGGACTCGCTTTTCTGGCCACCTCAGGCACAAGGTGTACATATATTCAGACAAAACACTGATACACACAAAATAAATAAAATGCTAAAAAAAGTTCAGAAAAAAACTGAATTCACAGAAGACTTAGAAAGGTATAAGATACTGATTATTTTTTCTTTCTTTTTTTATAACTATTTAGACTAGAAAACGTCAAGGTTGGATCCTGAGTATTGCCTGAAACAGCATACACCCTCTACACCATTATGAAGAATTCTTCAAGTTGTGGGACTGCTGGGCATGGTTAGTGAATGCTTTTAGTCCTCGAGAGGCAGAAGCAGGCAGAGGCCAGCCTGAGCTATACAAGTTCCGCCCAGTCAAAGTTACTCAGTAAGATCTTGTCTCAATACATACATACAAACATACACAAACAGGTAAATGAAGGTCTGGGGTCTAATAATGAAAACAAAACAGATCAGTCAAGCAATTCGAGAGCCATTTATACAACAGCAGCTACACTCAAATTCCTTCCTGAAAAATTACTATTATTGGGTCCCGGCAAGATGGCGGCACACTAAGTAAAGGGGCTCAGTGTCAAACCTGACCACCTAAGTTTGGTCCCCAGGGCCCAAATGATGGAAGGAAAGAACTGAACACCCTAAGTTGTCCCCACCCTTTGCACACGTTCTGTGGTATATGGTATATATGCAGTCATACACATACATACGTGTACATACACGTGAGCACTCCTCTCAAAAGAAACATAAATACTGTCATTTACTTCCATATCCATTTTACCTGGTAAACAAAGTAAATGAGAGCTGCACAGTGCACTGGACGAAAACAACGGGAGGGAAGCCAAGAGCACGTGTTCTTTCTTTCCATTCGAAGCCATGTTATTAGTTTACTAGCACACACACATCATGTAATCATTTAATAGGGGGTATTTCACTGTCTTCCTCACACCAGGCCTCTGAAATCTGGTGCTTCAGTCATAGCACAACTCCTTTTAGAGCGGCCACTCTTCAGCTGCTTGGTGGCCCAGATGGCTGGGGTTTGGTAAGAGAGGGGGCAGGCAGGAGCTACTTAAAAGCAAGTCTGAGAATGATTCCTCTGCCCTAAAACATATGGAGGAATATCTCAGACCAGGAAATTTATTTGAAAACTCTGCTTTCAAAGGTTTTTTGAAAATAATGGAAAGGTTACCATATATGTATATATTATATACAAAGCAGGAAATTCACCTCAGATCAAGTGATAAGCTGAGCCATGAGGCTTGTGTTTTAGGACGCAAGGTCTCATGCAGCCAAGACTGGTGTGGGACTTGCTATGTAGCCCTTGGCAATCCTCCTGCCTCAGCTCCCCAAATGCTAGAATTAAAAACAAGTGCCACCATACTGGCTGAAGAATGTTCTCTACAGGGAGTTGTTCTGAGAAGACAAGCTACTATGTGTCAGCTGAGGTGCAGCCGGCCTCCATTTGTATAAAAATGAAAATGGCTGTTTTGAAAATCTTATCCTTCCTGTGGGTCCAGTGTCGCCTAATGTTGCTGCATTCCAGATGTGCGGAGCGGGGCGTATGGGAGTGGGGTGGACAGAACACTGCTTGGTAGCCAAGCAGTCAGACAAATATTTGATGTGCTGAAGGGCTGGGGACCCAAATCAATAGCTAGCTACTGATTGAACTGTAGCCATGTGTCTGTCTTACAGTTTCCATTCCCTCTCCCTCCCGCTGCAAAGAGAAGCAGACAGTGTCCTCTACGTTACCTTTCCTGTTTGAGGGATGGCATTTTTCATTATCCTAGCCACATTTGCAATGGGCAGGTAAATGTCTTGCTCTCTGAAACTCTCTTTTGAGCCATTTGTGTCTTCATGATCATTCATGCTGTCCTCAGTATCTAAAGAGAGTTTTTAGAATTAGGTTTGGGGCTACAGGGATGGCTCAGCGGTTAAGAGCACTGACTGCTCTTGCAGAGGACCCGGGTTCGGTTCCCAGCACCCACATCAGGCAGCTCACAACCGCCTGTAACTCCAGTTCCAAGGGATCCGATGCCCTCTGCCGCCACAGGCACCTGCACACACGGTGCACGTAAGCTCACCCAGGCACACACACATAAGTAAAAGTAATAAATAGTTTAGCAACTTTTCTTAACTTTTACTTCAAAGTTACCTGTGATGGTCTAAAGCAGAGCCACCTGATGCTCCTAAGATCACGATAGCAGTTTCTCCACATTTCCTCAGGGTTAGAACTGACCCGTGCACCTCAAACCCAGTGCCCAGCACTCTTTCGTCTCCGCTGGCATGGAAAACCCTACCGCCCACTCTTCCCAAGCCCTCACAAAGACCCAAAGTGCTCTCCCCTTTCATGCACTACTCTGGCTAGTTCCCCCTGCTGCTGCTCTCAACAATTTTATAATGCTTTTCACTTCTCTGTTCCCTTATCAAGATCATTTCCTGAACCCAGGAATCATCTCTGTGTGCCCAGGATGTGGCTCTACTGAGCTGATGCTCAGCACTGGGGTTTGTAACTCGGCGCAGAGTGCCTGACTGGCTTCCAGGAGATCTTGGGCTCAAACCCTAGCAGCAGCAGAGCCAACACTCATTCACTGCCTAACTTAGCTATAAAACTCTGCAACCTATGCTCCTTAAATATTACTGGGCTAAGTTTATGTTTAGCCACAGCCAAGAGTATATAAGCTTGTATATGTAAAGTTTATAAAGTATAAAACTCCTAGCTAGCATTTACATAAATTTGTTCATATAAACTTTACATTAAATTCTAGAGACTTGAAAAATTAGACTTGAATATTACTGATCCAACTGGGTAATAATATAGTATATATGAATGGTAATCCCTTCATAGATAGCTCCTAAAAATACATGTCAATGTTTAATTTTACAGATTAAAATGTCACAAAAGCAAATGATTTCTAGTAGTTTAACATAAGAATTCCTCTTACTACTATTTAGAGGGAGTCAGTGATAAGTTTTGAAAATTTTAGAGCACCCTTTGGTAGAGAGCTCTTTCTGGGCCTCGCCACTCTTCCACAGAGCATTTCTAATAAAGATGGTGCGTGCGTGTGTGCGTACGCGCGCGCATGTGTGTGTGTGTTGGATCAAGGGCCTCAGGGACAGGACCAGAGGACAGAGCACTGGGCTCTACCCGGCTGATGTCCATCTCTTCCCTACTTCTCTTTGTTTGAGACAGGATTTCTCTACATAGACCAGGCTAGCCTCAAACTCAGACATCTGCCTGCCTCTGCTTCATGAGTGCTGGGGTTAAAGCTGTGCACCACCATACTTGACCTTAACTTTTTGAGTCAGGGGCTCATAAATTTGACTAGGCTGGTCCTGAACTTGCAGCCCCCCTGCCTAGCCTCCCCAATAGGTGGAACTATAGGTTGTTGCCCTAGACCAGGCTCTCAATAGATCTCCAGGGAACCAAGGCATGCAAGCGTTCACTCTGCTGTAAAGATGCTGGTGACCCAGCGTACATCTGGTTCTAGCTATGCATCTTACCATCATGAGGCTGGATAACATAATGACTTCCTCCGATGTAGTCCGCGGAAATCCCTAATTGAGATGCGTCTGTTGTGGAACTGTCGCCATCCATCTTTGGAGACAGAAAACAAGGCTCAGCACAAGGCTTGTTGGGTGGACCAATCCTATCTTTCAGTTTACCTTACTGAAAGAAAATATATTTCTTGACTAGGAAATTTTTCAATAATTTGGTAACTAATCAACATCCATCTTCCGTATGTCTTAAGTGTAAAATCAATACAGGAACAAAACAACAAAATCAATCTAAACTGCATACCTCTTGCTTTTCAACTACATAACCCTCAAATACAGTGCAGTCAACCTGCACTTATCATGCACTTCTTCCTTGGAACACCAAATCAATAGAGCGCAGCAGTCCCATGGGAAGCCCGCCAGCCCCGTCCCCCCAGCTGTCCCGCCAGGCCTAGGGACCGGCCACCCTTGTGTCCCTGCTGCACACCTTCCTTTGCTGCCTCTATGCCATCTCAAAGTACAGCCACTTGTTTTCCAGCAGGGTTGGCACACAGCCAGGCTGAACATGCGGTTCTCCGCCCTGACCTCCTAGAAGCTGGCATTACAGGCACATGCCACCGTGCCAAGCTTCACAGAAGGTTCTGAATGAGCCCATCAACAAGTATTTTCTCTTCCCCTTGCTCCTGAATATAGACATAGGAAAAGCACAACTACAGACCAGAACGAGCCTTACAGTGACTACGTGTGTCTGTGGAGGCCTGAGGCCAACCTCGGCTGTCGTTCGTCAGGGGCCAGACACCTTGTTTTATGGGCGTCCTTCACTGGCCTGGAACTAGCCAGCTGGGTTTGGGTGTCTGGCCAGTGAACCCCAGGGGTCTGCTTGCTTCCAACACAGACACAGACAGACAAGACACTGAACCCCAGGGGTCTGCCTGTTTCCAATGCACGCATGCCTGGCCTTTTCATATTGTTCTGGAGACTGAACATAGGTCCTCATGAAGTAAATACTGAATCAACTATGCTACTTCCTCAGCTCCAACGTTTTTTCAGTCTGTTTAGGGCTATGAGGAACAAGATCTAGAAGAGAAAAACCTGGTGGGAAAGTAAACTATTAGGCCTGAACAGATTCCATTTCATTTCTTTTTATTTTATGTGCATTTGCCTACATGTATGTCTGTGTGAAGGTGCCAGATGCTCTAGAACTGGAGTTACAGACAGTAGTGAGCTGCCATGTGGGTGCTGGGAAGTGAACCTGGTCCTCTGGAAGAGCAGTCAGTGCTCTTGACCTCTGAGCCCTCTCTCAAGCCCATTTTGTTTCACCACCAGCAGATTCAGAAGGTGTAAATACTGTTTGTAAATACTAAACACAGAAGGACTGGCCTGAGTGTATGGAGAATTAAGGTTGCATTATCTACACGACAAGTACAGCAGCGTGGAGTCTACTGGCATACAAGCTAAGGCCTAGAAGTTAGCCCAACCGCAGCACTTACTCCTCACAGAGAACATTCTCCGTCTCTATGGGATTTCTGTAAACTAATGCGCCAGGCTAGCTTCCAAGTTTGCAACATGGCATATCTTCCATGCATCTGTTGGCTTTAATGTCTAATTCAGTTGTAGACAGAGATACATTTCTGTAATTTACACTTAGGGAGCCTCTGTCTATGGAGATGTAGGGGTTCTATTCATCCACTGACTTCCCACTCATTCCTATATATATGGAACAATACTCCTCTCCCCATCTTAAATTAACACACCCATCACCCCAATAGAAAATGCTACTTCTTAGACCATAAATGCCTTTCAAGACTAGGATGTTGGACCTACTAGCCATAGAGCGATAGTCTACTAGAACAGCCGAGGGTTCACAATTTTAAAGGAAAAACTCCAAAAGATTTGATTCAGAACCTAGAATTGGAAAGAAATCTGGACTGGTGAGGTCTGGTAACAGAAATTCTTGGCTAAGTGAATGTTCATAGGATACCAGTCTTAAAGTCCTGAGCAAGAGACTAGCTAGGTGGATCTGGAGATGAATTAACTAATAAATACAAGGATACCAGAGCTAAAGGCCCGACTGCTGTCATCTCGCCGGACACTAGAAGGGGTGGTTCTAGGTGGACAGCCCACACTAGTTCTCTAAAGAGGCAGATGGCACTACCTCCCAGCTGTCAGAATTAGCACGACAGAGCTGTCCAGACTTGGCATGCAATTCCCGCAGGCACTGGCTCCCTCGTCCTCTGCTCAAGGCCCCCATCGTCTACTAAGCTCTGCGTTTCTTTGTTCTGTGAGTTTTACCCTTGTGTCACTCCATACCCTCTGTTCGTCACCTCTGTCTTTCTGCCATTAAATCCCCACCCCAGGTTTTAATCCCAACATTCCCTTTCCTGCTGGAATTTCTTGATTTATCCTGTTCTAGAATCTAAAACATCTCATGTTCACTTGCCTGGAGCCACCAGTAGCAGCAGCACTCAGATAACCAGCCTAAGCTCCGGGTCTTACACTATGCTAGTTACCTAGCCATATGTAAAGAAACAGAGGGGAAAAATTTGTTAAATAGTTGAAAGGTTTGTTTTTCTATGACATTTTTATGAAAGAGGATGTAGAAAGTCAGCCAACAAACATTTGCCTGGGTGAGCATTCAGGGTTTACTGGCCCATGCTGTGTGGCCATATAACAGCAAATAACAGATAAGGGCTCTGTCCTCATCCTGCAGAGAAAACAAGTGTTATGTAACCCAGGGACAGGGTGACGGAGTAGAGAGCAGTCCAGGGGATCTTTAAGGCCACTGGCTCTGGAATTACCTAGTCTGAATTTCCTGCTACTTACTGACCACAAGCCCTTGAGTAAGGGATGAGCCAAGGACTTATGTTTCTGTGTGGGCCAGGAGGCATACCTGTAAATACTGAGCGCAGTATAATGGGAACACTCCGTGTTACATATTTAGCCTCAACTGTTATATATTTATATAAATAATGACAACCTATCAGCCAACTGCTACTGCTGTGAAGTGGTAAGAGAAAGAAAGAGGTTTGCTAGTGACCTTATTGCAAAAGGGTTTCGTTAGTCTGAGGGGGCCAAGAGCAGCTCCATGAGGAGATGGCATTAGCTGGCAGTAATGGTGCACACACCTTTAATCCCAGCACTCTGGAAACAGGCAGCAGAGTCCCTGAGTTTGAGAGCAGCCTGAGTTCCAGGACACCTGGGACAACACAGAGAAATGTCTCAAAAACAACAACAGCAACAAAAATGACAACAGAAGGAGTCAGCGTTTAAACTGGGGCTGAGCGGCAGGCGCACAAAGATGCTTCGGAAGGGAGGGAGGAGGGGAAGCACAGTATGGGAGGACCAGCTGAGCAGTGGTCCTGTGGACAAGAGAGTAGAGTATCATCCGGTACAGAAAATGGCTTGGAGCAAGCAAGACTCCAGTCAGAAGACGGAAGACGGAAGGGTCTGGAACACCGCTGTTATGGCAGGAAGTGGGGTAAGACGATCCCCAGCACGTGTTCCAGGACCGGAGCCCTGCACGTGGATCCACAGGACAGTGACTACACAGCACTTCAGAAGCTAAATGGACCTCTGCCTGCTGCAGAGAGCTCAAGGAAAGAACGATGCTGGGATGCCAACTGGGATGCAGGCTGTGGATGCAGAGGGCAGGAAGGATGGGAACAGGATAGGAAGGACAGGAACTGGAGGGTGAGGAAACAAGGGCTTAGCGGGCTATGACACCTTCTGGGTCTGGGAAGTGAGATTCAGCGAGCATCTCACTACAGTAGGGTCAATGACTATACTATGTAGCCGAACTGAGTACGTTGTTCTTTAAGGGTTATGTGATAATGCACTTCTAGTCTCATTTTAAGGTAGCAATATTTAAACCATAAATACCTGCTAATACAGCGAATGCACTGTAAAGGGTCTTCTTTAATATGTTTAGTTACCGAGCACTTCTAAATCCCCATGGGGAGTTCATGGCCCTATGCAGCAGCTTAAGAAACTCAGTGATAGGCCATCGAGACAGATGGCTTAGCCGGCACGCAGGCTCGCCTCCAAACCTAACTATTTGAGCTTGATCCCATGAACCCATAGGGAAGGGAGAGAGCCCAGTTCCACAGGTGAACCCTGACCTTCACAGCATGCCATTCACCCCTACACCCCCAACACACTCACATGCACGCACACACTAGATGTAATTTTAAAAACGTAGAGGCAGATGAGGGCGTGGACTTGCCTGAGGAGATGGAGTACTCGAGAGCCTCCGTGTTCCTTACAGAACACATTCCTGCTAGCCTTCCCTCCATGCTCAGTCCTGATTTCCCATGTACCCTTGATTCTCCATCTACCGGTTACACGGTGAGAGTAATGCTCACAAAGGGTTAAAAATGTGTGTCTTCTGGAGTTCGGGATGAGTGTGGTCTGGGTTGAGGACACAGCTCCCACGAACTGCACAAGTGTGTGTCAACAGGTCACTTTCTATCCCCTACGGGTTGCTGTAACGAGTCCCATGCAATGTCCTAGCAAAGGCGTGGGGTTTCTCAGGAGCACACAGGCCTCTGCCTCCTGTAATTACCATCTCTTCAAACACTCTGGTTCTTTCCAGGCACAGAGCTTTCGTCACACACCTAACCTCTGACCTGCTCTTTATCTTTTCTGCAGGGTAAGAAATAGTATCAGGGCTCCTCATCTCTACTCTATTTTCAGCCCAGCCTCCTTACGCTCCCTAAAACACGTGTCCTGTCATGACACACGGCAGCGCCCTCACGGCTGTGGACACCCTCACCTTTCCCTACTCCCCGTCAGCTCTCACTTTCACGACATAACATGGTCCTGACACACTTTTCATTCTCGTGCTTCTCAATGCCAACACCGAGAAGCTGCCTTTCTGGATGCCCTCCAGCCTTTGTGACAGACCATCACAGAACTCACGCCACTCGCCCCAGCCCCTCCTGAGACTCCAAAGCAGCAGTCTCCCTAACTGTTAGCTTCAGTCCAAGGTTACCGTCCGCTCTGTCTTCCTCTACTCTTCTAATGAACTCATTAAATATTACCTCCACTCTCACAAATACAAATTTATATTCACCATTCACCGCTCTACCTGCCACATAAGCAACCATCAATGAACAAGAGGGCACTGGAGTGCAATTCATCCCCCATCCCAGCGACTCCGGGAACACCACGCCCAGGGATCTAGGTTAACTGGTCAGCATCGCCTTTAGGTTTCCACCTGGATTGCCCCTCCTTTTCTATCCCACAGGGTCATCACCCAGCCCAGCTAAGCACACTACCTAGACTAACTCACCGAAACTTCTTCTACAAGGTCTCCTGCGTCAAATCCAAACATCCTCTTCAGAGCTTTACAGGATGGTTCCCTTCTTAACCTAAGAGAACTTTTAACACTAGAATATGCCTGGGGGACCACCAAATGCAGAGTGAAACAACCATGACTCAGAGGAACCGTACCCTGCCTGAGGTCACAGATACTGTAGCAGAGCCAGATCCAAATATGCAGCCCAGCCAGGTGGGAGCTCGTCCCAGCGCTACCCTGTGAAATCCCCATCTGGAACAAGTACCTGTCTCCATCTCCAAGCCTGTGACTCACTGGGGCTTCTGGGCTTTTACTCTGGGTAAGACCCTTTACCTGGCCAAATCCACTCATCTATCTGTTCAGCCCCATTCTGCCCAGGACACCCCTCCTGACTCTCCCAGGTCAGCCACATCCCTCTTCTTCAGCCCTTGCCATTCGGCATGTAACCCCTAGCTGAACAGACAGCCCACAGACAGGAGGGTGAGCTCCTGCTGAGTGGCAGTAGGAACCAGTGGACATGTGCCTCTGGCTGACCAGAGAGGCACAGCGGATGCACACAGGCACTGCCTGTCTAGGCTTGAAAGACTCACACTATACAGCCCTCCAATGTATCAGCCACCCCTTCACGTTAGCCGGGATTAGCCCCAATGGTGAAAACATGCTTACTGTCATGAAATACCGTCACAACTCTGTACCAGTGGTGGGCGCTCTCAAACACCTGTCAAACGGGGTTGGGTCCTTGCCCAATTTTAACCTAAAAGAGAAAGATCTCTTAGTAGAGTCAGAGACACAGGTCATCTTACCTCCTGTATTAATCAGTGGAGAGTCTACAGGGCAGAGCAGAAATGGCTTTCTAGCATAACCTTGAATTTGTTTTAATAGTAAACATTCATATTGCTCCAAATAAGGGACCAAGTTATATATTATGCAAGACACTGAAAACTCACATATAGAGACCACATAAAATATTAACACCAAGGCCAGAAATATATCACTTTCTACCTTCAGTGTTTGAAGATGGCTTCCTTAAATGTTTCAGAAATGCATACATTTTCTTTAAGTCAGAAGGGAGAGAAAAAAAATCATGTCAGGCTATAATGCTGGAAAAGACACACACTGCCTAGAGAGCATGCCAAACACACACACACAAACCTACAGAGCCCTCATTTACAGTTTTGGAGCACCATCACTGTGAACTAAAAATTTCAAGACAGCACATCAGCCTCACTGTAAGGCAAAAGTAACGGAAAATCAGAAGCAAGGGCAGCATCTGCAGGCAACCCTTCCTATTTGCTGTTTCCCTTTCCTTTCAAAGCAGACAATTAAAAGTGGGGGTGCAAAACAAAACTCCTTCCAGGGTTAATTTTAAAGGAAGAATACTGATTTCCACTGAAGCATGAAAGTAGTAAATAGAGGGAAAAACCATGGCCGTTGAGTTTTTAAAATAGCATTAAAGGGACCGGACAGCAAAGACTGCCTGACATTGTTAAAATCTTAAAAGTAATTTCTATCACCTTTCCATATTATGTCCCTTTTCTAGAGCCGAAACTGCTCTTGTTGTGTGTTTGAACACATACACAGAAGTTGAGTATGTATATGTACACTGCTTAGAACGGGTGTGGGGTGAGAACCCTTACCACACCAGTAACCCAAATAGTTGGGTAAGTATATATTTAGGTTTAGTCCATTAAGAATAAAATCACTTCATATGGAAAACATTTTCCTAAGGGCAGTTTATAATCTGTGTAATAGCTCAAGGGAATGCATACATCTGCTTAATGTTTGAAGAAATGCAAATTTGTATCCAAGAAAAGCAGATTCCCTTCCTCCAACCTCCCATTCTTTGGCATCGACAACCACTGTTTTTGCATCGATAGAATCCTTAAATTAAACTACAAGAGCTGTGCAGGAATTTTTAAAGAAATTCTGTAAACTCAATCCATAAAGATCCTATCTATTTATCGATGCCACCACCACCAACGAGTTGGGCCATCACTTTTTGGCTGCCGCTTAGTTACCTTAGTGAGAGCCGAAGCCACCCCAGTGATTTGTGGCACGATCCAAAAAACTCGGGTCTGCGAGGATGAGCGGGATGCCATTTTTTTTTTTTTTTTAAAGGTCGCCTGCTACCTAACCTTGCCTACACCACTCGGTCTTGTTGTGGCCCTTTGGGCATGAAAACGATCTGTGGGTGCTCGGTAATTCTTTGTTCTCGCAGACCCTCCCGCCCCCCCCCCCCCAGCACGGGTAAGACCGAAAGCACCAAGCAACCTGCAAGGCTCCCTTCCCACCTTCGGGGCAAGTCCGGGGCGCGCCAGCCGCCAGATGGCTGCACGCCGCGGGCGCGGAGCGGGCCGGGGCCGCCAGGCCGCTCGTTCCCCGCCGCCTCGGCTCGCAGGTGCCCCCGCCGCCCGCACCCAACGCCCGCCGCCGCCGCCGCCGCCGCCGCCGGGGTGCGGGAGACAAAGCGGCCGCTCCGGGGCGCCGCGCTCGCCCGCCGCCCGCCCGCCCATCGCCGGCTCCCCGAACAAAATGGAGCCGGCCGGGGCTGCCGCCGCGAGAGCCCCGCAGCCGCCCGGCCCGGCCCGGCCCGGCCCGGCTCGGCCGAGCTCGCGGCCCCGCGCACAAAGCGCCCGCCGCCCCGCGCCCCGGCCGGCCCGAAGCACGGCGGCCTCGCCCGCAGGCCTGGGCCGCCCGGAGGCTGCGGCCGGCGAGTGGCCCGGCCGCCGCGGCGTTGGCGGCGGGGCCGGCGCCGGGAGGAGACGGACATTTCATTCGAGCTAAAGTGGAGTCGGTTTAGGAGCGATCATTGGCCGAAGCGAGGCACAAACCTCCAATGCAGCCCTGGTTGGCTCCCGTCTCCAATCGGCTGTTTGGTTGGACAGAAAATGGCTGCGAAGGAACCAGTCCCAGCGCGGAGCTCCACTTCCAGGACTCGGCCTCCCCTCCCTCCGCCGCGGGCCGCTTCCCTCTGCGTGACTCCCTCCCTCCGCGACGCCCGCGCCCGAGGCCACGCCCCGGACACGCCCCCCCGGACGCGCCACGCCCCGGAGCCGCCGGGCTCGCGGAGCGGCTCGTCCCCGGAAAGGCGCGCGGGCGGGCGCGCGCGGGCGGGCGGTGGGAGCTCAGTCCCTCCCTGCTGCGGGGCTAGCGGGAGCCCGGCGCTGTCTCCCCACGCGGCCCCGGGGCCATGCCGAGCGGCCTTGCCCCGGCCTCCTTCTCCTTCCCGTGTCTCCTTCCCCTCGTGCCAGCGTCTCGGCCGCCTGAGTTCAGCCTTCCGGGATGCCTTGGGCACCTCGTGCTTTCCAGTGTCCCTCCAAGTGTCCTCAGGCACACGGTCACCGAACAGGTCGGCCGGTCCAGCAGACCACCACCCTGCACGCTGGTCTAAAGAAGCTGCTCTTTCTGGCCTGGCCTGCTCTACCAAGTTGGCTTAATAGCTTGTTGCCTGGTGTGCATTTTTCCCAACCAGATGACACTGGACTGCAAGAATTCATGGCCTCTGTGCAGCCAAGGCCTTCCCTGTGGGCTTCCCTGAGACCTGGATAGAATCTCCCTTGGCTGCAATGCTCCCTTTATGTCTTACAGCCAAACACCCTGCATGGCCGGACACAGTAGGATGCTTGCACCCGGAGCTTACTTTTGTGAACGATTCCTGGTATACTGACTTTCTAGCTTTACTTACTTTTAAATATGTGGAAAGTTGTTGTCCTAGGACTTAGAAGCATAAGTAAGCAAGATCACACAACAAGAGCATCTTTAAAAATAATAACAATAAATAAAGTCCTGCGGTGGGGCCTTATGCCTTTAATCTGAGTTCTGAGGAGACACATGCAGGAAGACTGGAAATTACAGGCCATCTTGGGCTCCCTAGTATGTTCACAGCCAGTCTGGAATTGTATCTCAAAAAAAAAAAAAAAAAAAAAAAACAGATGTGTGGGTACATATTACATACAAGTAAACTGGGTGGTGGTGGTGCACGCCTTTAATCCCAGCACTCAGGAGGCAGACCCAGGCAGATCTCTGTGAGTTCAAGGCCAGTCTGGTTTACAGAGCGAGTTCCAGTATAGCCAAGGCTACAATGAGAAACCCTGGCTCGAAAAAACAAACAGGCAAAATAAGTGTGTATATGCATAAAATATACAGAAAGATTGAGAAAGATGTTGTTTATTGAGCTCCTATGTCTAGAACATACAAATATTTCTTAGACAAATCAGGGAGCAATTCCTGAGGTGCTGAATGATCCGATGAACAACCTGACTTGAATTCCCTTCTCACCAGCCATGTAGTGAGATATTCACCTTGTCTGCACCTGTGGCATAGACCACGCTCGTTGGGGGTGGAGACTAGGCCACATGTGACCTAGGGGAACTAAGGCTGAGGAGGGGCTCAGAGAGCTCTCTCCTGCTCTCTGGAGAGCATCCAGAGGCATCCTTAGGACCAGGAACCTACTGGTGTTCATCTGTCTATGTTGTGAGTTATTTCTCCCTGAATAAACATCTATTTGGCCTATCTGTTTCTCCTGATCCTTATTAAACATCAATACAGCCAAATTTATTCCTCTGTTATTTCTTATAGTTTTGATTGTGAGCCTAGCCTTTAATAGCTGAGCTATATCTCTAGCCCTCTGTTACGTCTGTGTAACAGTAATAATACTACTAGTGTTGACCTTAAACACAAGATCCCCTGCTCCTGCCCCTGAGTAACTGAGACTACAAGCATGCACCACTGGCGTCTGTCTGTATTAGTCAGGGTTCTCTAGAGGAGCAATACTAATAGGATAGATAAATAGATAGATAGATAGGTCAATTGATAGATAGATACAAATTCATAGAGATATTCCTATATATGGATCTTTTTAAAATCCCATATGTACACATATATGTGATCAAATCAATTCCGTATGTACTTATGGAATTTATTAGAATGGCTTATAGGCTGTGGTCCAGCTAATCCAACAATGGCTGGCTCTGTATGAAATGTCCACGAATCCAGTAACTGTCCAGCCGTCAAGACTGGATGTATCAGCTGGTCTTCAGTATATACTGGAATCCTGAAGAAACAGGCTCTACTGCCAGTGAAGAAACGGACTTCCCAACGACACCAAGGGCAAACAATGCAGAGAGCAGGCGCTGGCTTCTTCCATGTCCTTTATGTAGGCTTGCCGGCAGAAGACTTGATCCATATTCCAACTAAAACTTTTCACCTCAAAAGATCCAGAGTTGGGGTGGGTCTTCCCACTTCAAATGATTCAATCAAGAAAACTCCCTCAAAGATGGACCCAGACACTTGGGGTTTAATTAGTTCCCGACGTCGTCAAGTTGACAACCAAGGACGGCCATCACAGTCTATCACAGCACGTTCTCCGTTTCACACCCCAATTCTACACTAGCCTCTCTCTTCTCAGCCCTTCCTTTCATTCTTTCTTCCTCCCTTCCTTCCTGGAACTCGCTCTGTAGACCAGGCTGGTCTCGAACTCACAGAGTTATGCCTGCCTCTGCCTCCCAAGTGCTGGGATTAAAGGCGTGCGCCATTGTCAGGCTTTCTCGGTCCTTTCTGCGTGCTGAGGCCCAGAAGGGTATGGCTTCCGCATCTTTCTCCTATCTCAGCTATAACGTTCCTCTAGTCCCACCTCACCACCCTCTGAAGCTCACACACACACACACACACACACACACACACAAAGACACACACGTGCGCGCGCGCACGCACACACAGACACAGACACACACACACACAAAGACACACACACACACACACACAGACATAGATGCTCTCTATCTATCTATCATCTATCTATCAGCTATCATCTATCTATCATCTATCTATCTATCTATCTGCATCTCCATTGCTTTGCCTTGAAAGTGGTCCCCAAAGTTCAGGCCCAGGAACGTAATTCCCAACACTACAGAGCCCGTAAGAGGTGATTAGGTCCCTGGAATATCTGCTCTCACCAATGCTACTCATGTGATCATCTCCAGAGTGGGCTTCTTAGGAAAGTTAGGATGGCCCTCTCTGTACCTCTCCTTTCTCCTCCCTCCTCCACTAACCTGGTCTGACAGGGATAAAGAAGGCGCTTGCCAGATGCCCCAGGTGCAACATATAGCCTTTGATTTTGGATCCCCAGCCTCCAAGGCAATGAGCCAGTAAACCTGTTCACTATGAATTGCTGACTCTGAGGGATTTGGGTACAGCAGGCTGGACTAAGACAGCGCCTCCATTAAGAAATGGTTCGTGGGCAGTAAGGGGGTTCATCTGGTAAAGGCAGTTAGGTACCTGAGTTTGAGCCTTGGAATCCACGTGCTGCAAGCAGGGAACCGACTCCAGAAAGTTGACCTCTGACCTCCACACATGGGCCACAGAAGTGGAACATACACAGACAGAAGTAAGTACATGTGAAAACAAATGGTTCGGATTGATGCTGTGCACGCCTGTAATCCTAGCACTTAGGAAGATGGGGTTGGGGGGGGGTCTCCAGTTTGAGGCCAACTTCAGCTGCAAAGTGAGGCCCTGTCTCAAAAGAAGGGAAAAAACAAAAAACCAACCAACCAAACAAAACAAACAAACAAAACAAAACAAAACCAAAAAACCCCCAAACCCAAAAATTCCTTACAAACCACTTTTAGCTGGTAGCACGAATTTTGGTTTATGCCACATTCAGCCTTTCAAATGGTTAGGTGATTAGGTTGTATTGATTACTTAGTGCTGTGTAACAAATCATTCCGAACACTGGTGAGAAACAGTGTCCACGTCTCAGCCTCTGTGGGGAATCATTTGCAGGTGGCTGTAGTACTGGGGTTTTTTGTTTTGTTTTGTTTATTGTTTTTTGTTGTTGTTGTTGTTTTTGTCTTTATCATGGCCATTACCTAAGCTCTCAGCTGGGCTCGGGTTAAGGCTCACCGGAGGAGGGCCTTTCCAGCTGCAGTACCCAACTCCTTGCTGAAGCTCCTCAGAGGTCAGGGGGTAGAGCAAAGGAACAAAATAACACACACACACACACACACACACACACACCTTTAACAGTTTGGGGAGGACACTCAAGCTCCCATTACAATCGGTCCTTTCACCTTGTCATAATAGCAGTGTGGCATAAACCAGCTAAAAGTGGTTTGTAAGGAATTTTTGGGTTTTGGGGTTTTTTGGTTTTTTGGTTTTGTTTTGTTTTGTTTTGTTTGTTTGGTTGGTTGGTTTTTTGTTTTTCCCTTCTTTTGAGACAGGGCCTCACTTTGCAGCTGAAGTTGGCCTCAAACTGGAGACCCCCCCCCAACCCCATCTTCCTAAGTGCTAGGATTACAGGCGTGCACAGCATCAATCCGAACCATTTGTTTTCACATGTACTTACTTCTGTCTGTGTATGTTCCACTTCTGTGGCCCATGTGTGGAGGTCAGAGGTCAACTTTCTGGAGTCGGTTCCCTGCTTGCAGCACGTGGATTCCAAGGCTCAAACTCAGGTACCTAACTGCCTTTACCAGATGAACCCCCTTACTGCCCACGAACCATTTCTTAATGGAGACGCTGTCTAGTCCAGCCTGCTGTACCCAAATCCCTCAGAGTCAGCAATTCATAGTGAACAGGTTTACTGGCTCATTGCCTTGGAGGCTGGGGATCTAAAATCAAAGGCTATATGTTGCACCTGGGGCATCTGGCAAGCGCCTTCTTTATCCCTGTCAGACCAGGTTAGTGGAGGAGGGAGGAGAAAGGAGAGGTACAGAGAGGGCCATCCTAACTTTCCTAAGAAGCCCACCCTGGAGATGATCACATGAGTAGCATTGGTGAGAGCAGATGTTCCAGGGACCTAATCACCTCTTACGGGCTCTGTTGTGTTGGGAATTATGTTCCTGGGCCTGAACTTTGGGACCACTTTCAAGCCAAAGCAATGGAGATGTAGATGGAGAGAGAGGGAGGGAGGGAGGGAGAGAGAGAGAGAAAGAGAGAGAGAGAGAGAGAGAGAGAGTGTGTGGGCTGGCGTTTTAGTGATAGACCACT